GTGGTGGTGGTATTGTGTTCCCCAAAAATTTTGTGCACCCTAATAAACTTATCTGGGGTCAGAGAACAGAACAGCCACTAGATATAGAGGCCAGAAAATGGTGGCACACATGCCTTTAATCCTATCACTTGGGAGATAGAGATCCTTCTGGATCTCTGAGTTTAAAGCCACATTGGAAACAGCCAGGCATGGTGACTCATGCCTTTAATCCCAGGAAGTGATGGTAGAAAGCAGAAAGGTATTTAAGGCGTGAGGACCAGGAACTAGAGCTGGTTAAGCTTCAGGCTTTCGAGAAGCAGTTCAGCTGAGATCCATTTGGATGAGGACTCAGAAGTTTCCAGTCTGAAGAAACAGAATCAACTGAGGAATTAGCAAGGAGAGGTGGCTGTGGCCTGTTCTGCTTCTCTGATCTTCCAGGCTTGGCTCCAGGTTTGTTCTTATTAATAAGACCATTTAAGATTCGTGCTGGGGGGGGGGGGCGTTTACATTGGCAGTTTTCAGGGAGAATGGGTTCCCTGGAAGATCTACAAGCAGGTACATTTCAATTGTAGGAGATATTGACACATTCCTTTCCAAGGAAACTGTAGACATTCACAGTCTCCTTTGATCCACTATCCCTGAGGACAAGTGAAATGGAATGCTTTTCATACTTTTTTGGCAAACTACATTTTTCTATTTTATGCAAAGCAGACTTGGTTCCTCTGCCCATTTTCTTCTTTTGGAACATTTGCCTTAGCGCTTTTATGTCAAACGTTTTAGAAACTTCCCTGTTTTTTCATTTTAATATATATATATATATATATATATATATATATATATATATATATATATATATTCTTTTTCGAGACAGGGTTTCTCTGTGTAGCTTTGTGCCTTTCCTGGAACTCACTTGGTAGCCCAGGCTGGCCTCGAACTCACAGAGATCTGCCTGGCTCTGCCTCCCGAGTGCTGGGATTAAAGGCGTGCGCCACCACAGCCCGGCTCATTTTACTATATTACACGAGAACAAAACTGAGAATCTAAAATATCTTCCCCTTTACCCCACATTGATTTTCCTTAGGGTAGCATATGCATGTCCTACATCAGCTACCTGTGGGTATTTGTCAAACAGCAACAAAAGGAGACGTCCTGAAAACTCTCCAAAGAGGGTGATGGGCATCAGCAGCTCCAGCCATTCCTACGTCGCTCTGTCTTATCCGCCTGAGTCTCCTATGATGTCTAGACCAGCACAGTCCAACAGAACTTTCTACAGTAACCCAAACGGTCCATATGGGAGCTGTCCAACACAGGAGCTCCTGAGTTCTTGAATGTAACCAGAGACTGAGAAATGAATGCTTCAACTGGAGATGGCTTGCCGAGCCTGCAGCTCTTGACTGCTAGCTCCTTACATCCTGACACCCCCCCCCCGCCCCTGCACCCCTTCTGTGTCTAGCTCACAGTAACCTGCAAATGAAAAAACGGCAATAAGAAAGCCTAGGCAATCACTAATTTTTTAAGGCTCTTGGTATATCAAGAAATGAAGAAATGCCAAAATATAAATATAAAAATTGTGGTATGTTATAATATTTGCCTTGCACTTACATGCTGCTTTTGTGTCCTACAATAAAGATAATTTCAGGATTAAAATATCCAACCGATGAGGTAACCGGTAGTTACATCATATTCAACCACTCTCTACCACCACCTACATAAATATATTAAAGATCTATTAAGACAACAATGAGTCTCTTTTGATTTTTCATGTACTTTCTGTTAAAATTTACATGTGGAAACATGTACTACAGAACATGATCAGATTATTAATCTGTGAGGTAGAATGGAGTTACAAGCAAAGACGATAGTATATAGAGAATTATTCTTTGAAATTCAAGCCTCCTGGAAGACAGCATTGAGAGAGAGGAGAGAAACTGAGTGGATTGGAGAACTCGGGACTTGTTCACTATGATTTCATTTCTCCATCTCCTTCAGAATGAAAGTTAAAGGAATGTCATCCTGCAGAGTTGCGATAGTATCAAAACTTCTCTGGGGATAACTCATTCTTCCTGCTCTTACTAACCCGGGGAGACTCATTAGCCACGGTTCCCAGCCTGAAGTGAGGGCAGAGGCTGCACTTCATGCATCAGATAGCGATCATAAGCATAGTCACCATTCACTTTCTCCAGACAACTGAGGACCGCTGCAACTACACAGAGACTGCAACCATTTATCCACGATTCCGAGCAAGCAAAGCCCAAGCATGCTTGGATCCGGGAACAAGCTAGAATGCAGATATGCAGGCCACGACTTTATACCAGGGCACTCAGTCATGGTCACATTTTTTTCCTCATCTTATTTTGTGGTGCTGGGAACTGAATCCAGAGCCTTGCATGTGTTAAAGCAAATCTGAGCTTCATTCCTAGCCCAGAGCCACAAATCTGACTCAGAGCTTCAGGGCAGCCAAGATGAAAAGAGGAACCATGGGGCCAGTTTCCTCATGCACAAAAAAATGACACCTGTCACTCGAGGTAAAGTCACTTCATGACGCTTGGCTCTGAAAGGAAGTGTCCTGTGGGAGATTTCCTTCAGGGAATGCAAAGCCATCAAGTGCACAGCAAGTCTTGCAGGACAGACATTCATAGGTTCTGAGGGGCTGTTCCTTCTGGGGAGGTGTGATACTTGACAAGTTGGTGTCACACTTGTGGCAGGGGGCGGGAAGTTTTGTGAGCGTGGGTTCGGGACAATATGGACAAGCATGCTTTCTGTGGAACCAGCTATCATTGTGTGCTTGGCTAAAGACAGATACACACTGTTCAGAATTCAGTAATGTCATCAGCAGATGGGAAGGGGGCTGACAACTTTTTGTGAAGAGTGAGCCACACCAAGTGATAATTGTCAACCTTATATGACCATTCCTGTGTCTATGGTAGTAGCTGGGGGGCACAGACAATCTAGGAATTTTCATTAAATCAGGTGTCCAAAAATAAGGGGGAAAATATTCAAGATCAAGTTTTATCAGAAGGTCTGTAAATTCACGGGTTATTTTCTCTTTCTTTTTTTAAAGTTCATATTAGTTGCCAATATTTAGAGATTAATAGATTTCAAGTCCGACAATGTTAGTTGCTTCTATTATACCACATGGCAAAATCTGCTAAGTGGGGTATAGAACATTACCCATCTGCTTGAGCTATTTAAGTACTGAAATGCTCTGCTGGAGAATGGTAGGAGATTTGGATTAATTTTTTTTCAAGTAAGTATTAGTATAAGCATTAGTATATTAGTATTAGTACACACATGTGTGTATCTCTGTGTGTATGTGCATATGTGAGTACAGAAGTTTGATGTCCAGAAGAGGGCGTTGAAGCCCCTGGAACAGGTATTACTGGCAGTGAGCTGCTCCATGTGAGTGCTGGGACTCCAACTCAGATCCTCTCCAAAAGCAGTACATACTCTTAACCACTGAGCCATCTCTCCAGCCTCATTGCTCATTCTTGACTGTAAGAAAATCTGAGTGGGCTCTTATGAAATGTATGGCTACCAACAAAGTCACTGGTTAATAAATGTACCTGGAAGGATAACATACAAAACATCCCCCTTGCTAAAGAAATGAACCTTAGGCATGGCATGGTGGCACATTCCTTTAATCCCAGCACCAGAAAGCAGGCAGATCTCTGAGAGTTCAAGGACAGCCAGGGCTACACAACAAGGCCCTGTCTCACAAACAAAACTAAACAAAAAGAGACTAACCTGAAGCCGGGCGGTGGTGGCGCACGCCTTTAATCCCAGCACTCGGGAGGCAGAGCCAGGCGGATCTCTGTGAGTTCGAGGCCAGCCTGGGCTACCAAGTGAGTTCCAGGAAAGGCGCAAAACTACACAGAGAAACCCTGTCTCGAAAAAACAAAAAAAAAAAAAAAAAAAAAAAAAAAAAAAGAAAAAAGACTAACCTGGTATTACTGGACTTAAGCCAATTAAATTGAAAACGTGTCATTTTGGAACGACATTCATTCTCAATGACAAATGGTAACAAGGACAACTACATAAACTCCATCATAACAAAATATTATCAACATATAGGAAAACAGACTTTCTTGTTTCTAAGGCATGGGGAATATGTGTCCAAAGAACCCACATATTATCTAGATTTTATATATATAAATAAAAAAAACAAGAAAGGCCACAGGTTGGGCTAATTTATGCTACTTGAAATGCTTTCTGATCTAGACAATGATTCTTTCAATCTGAACTTTCAAAGTCATGAAACTTGAAACTAGTTCTTGCCCAGAATCTCAATGAGAAATTAAAGTTACGAACATTTAAAAAAGTGTGTGTGTGTGTGTGTGTGTGTGGCTCGCCACATGCATACCAGAGCTCATATGTGAAGGTCAAAGGGCAACTTTGAAAACACTTTATTTTTTGTATGGATGCATGAGCATTTGTGCCATATCCAGGTAGCAGCCATGGAATGACATGCAGAAAGAAGCTGGCTCGCTCTGCCATCTGGGTTCCCTAGGAGTAAACTCAGGTCTTCAGGCTTGCACAGCAAGTACCCTTCTCTATCTGTTGAGCCTTTGGCTGGCCCTGAAACATTCTTTTTAAAATGAGGTTTTTGAAATTATAAAATCTATGCTGTCAATAATTTAGAAAATAAGAAAAATATAGGTAGTTTCCCCAATTATATATGCAGAAAAGCTTCAAACCAACTTCTATAGTTTGGATCTAGAATATTCTTTCAAAGGTCCCCAGGGGAGCATCATTAGGACGTGATGGGGCCTTTAAGATGTGAGGCCTAGTGGTGGGTCCTTAAATCATGGCCTGCTTGTTTTCTTTTTGCTGGTCATGAGGTGAGTGGTTTGCTCTGACATGCATTCTGTCACTCCACAGGCCTAAAACAATGGAGCTAGCGGATACCAGACTGAAACCTCTAGAACTGTGAGCTAGAACAAACATGGTTATCTCAGATATTTTGTTAAGGTGATGATGGGATACTACTACACCAATGGAAAGAGATATGCACACCAATCCACTCAGTTACAAATGCCAAGTGAGCAAATTTACTCAGTGCTTCGGGGCAGGGACTGAATGGGAAACATGGTTACACAATTCATTTATACAACTGGTATAGCCTATGAAGAGAGATGCATCAGCTATCCAGAGTGCCCAAGGATTTGTGACTTCCAACTCGGAAAGAAGAGTCTCTGGTGTTCATGGAAGGGAGAGTGGGATCACACACACACACACACACACACACACACACACACACACACACACACACCAGCCCTGCAACACAAACACTGCTGAGTTGTGTAAGCCGTGTTTCTAGCACCCCTCATGTGAACAGGGAGGATTTGGTATGAATGGTTACAGCACATGGGTTCTAGCATTGGGAATCCTGGCTCTATCACTTATTAACTTTGTGAACTTGAGTAATTACTTCAACTTTCTGTGATGTAGCTTTCTGATCTGTAAGTATGGTAATTAGTAATATCACCTACTCAAGGGCTGTTACAAGACTCGTAATGCCTGAACACTGAAACAGGAGGAGCACAGGTACAGGAATGTGTACCTGGCATGTAGTAAGCACCATTATTACAGCAAATGCTACAATGCATGGGCATTATATTAATATGGAGAAAGAGCATTTTAACCAATTCAGGACTCCGATAGGTTTCCTAGAAAAGGACTGCATGTCATGGATCTAAACCTTAGTCTATTAGCTGTTTTACCCTTATAGTCTGCCTACACCTTAACAAAACCAACCAAACAACAAACCCCATTTATGGCAACCAGCTATCTACCCATGTGTTTACCTTGCCTCCAAACTGAATGGCTTGTATAACTGAGTATAACAGCCACAGCTGTCCAGAGAGAAGTATCACAGCTTATACTAACTCTTAAGTGTTTGGTGAAACGGCCTTAGTTGGATTTTTAAGGATGCTGTTGTTATAAGCAACTGAGTCTAATATAAGAGTTGAGGTTATATTTTTGCCTTGATTGATCTCATCCATGTCTGAGGGCTTAACTTCCTCCAAACCTCAACTTCTCTCATCAGTCACAGACCTGTGTAATTTGGCTGTTTGATGTTTTCCTCTAAATGTGGAGGGCCCCTCCATGAGACCATAACCACAGTGAAGCAGCCTGATAAACTGTGCTTTTTCTTTCTACATGAAGGAGAACGCACCGGGGAACTGTCATCTTTATTGTTGACTGCACTGGTCTCTTATGGCTGTTGTAACAAGTTAGTACAAACTGAGTGCTTTAACAACAATTCATATTAGTGTTCTAGAAGTCAAACGTCCTTAATTCAAGAATCCAGTTGCTTGCCCTTTCCAGCTTCTATAGGCTGCCTGTACTCCCTTGGATCCATTTTTAGGGCCAACTGGGTGATGTCTTCAAATCTCTGTGACCTTTGCTTCTCTCATATGCCCTTTTCCAACTCTGCTCTTGTCCCTAGCCCAGCAGGCCAATTCAGGGTATGTCATGTCCTTAACTGAACCATATCTGCAAACTCCCTTCTGTGATGTTACAGAACGTATTAGCAGATTATGGAGATGGGGGCGGTGTGTGTGTGTGTGTCAGTGTAGGGAACATTATTCTGTAAAACACAATTAACAAAGTTGGAATTGGGTGTTACCTGCGGGCAGTTTCCTAATGTTAAACTCTAGGATTTGCTTTGTACCCCTGGACTAGGCACCTTCATTCCACCACACCCTAACAGTTTCTTCAAAGGCTTCCCACGTCCAGTTTGTTCTTTTAAATTTATCAATCTAGAAGCCAGTTCTCCAAGGAAAAGTAAACTGGGGACATACGTAGCAAAAGCTAGAAGTATTAAATTGATGGATATCATTCCACACGAAAGGCTTGAGGGAGGGTGCTTCTCCAACCAACATACTCATTCACATTCACAGGCACTGCTACCATAGTCATCGGCCAGGAATGCCATCACCGTCTAGCAACACACCACCTACGGACGCAAAGGCATCTTTCTTTCCATCAGCCTATCTCAGCACCCATCCTAGAATCCTGGCCTACTTATTCACCAACTCCTACCCCCACTCCCCACCAGCGCTGGCCTTCACATTCACATTCCCACTCGCAGCGCCTTGGCGGTTCTGATCACTTCTCCAGGGTACTACAATGCGACATTCCCTGGCCCAGCCCCTGCGGTTTCTGTTCATTTTCACTTCCTATTTAAGATGTCTTTGCTTGGAACTGTCTTCCGTCTTCAAAACCTCGCACCCAGCTAAGTACCTAACTTTCAAGGGAGACGACTCTCTAGCTTCAGCCAGGCTCAGACTTGCACCCCGATTTCTACGGCTTGGAAGCCCACAGCCCCTGCTTTCCTTGCTCCACGGTTTCTTCTTACGGGAAAGATGAAGTCCAGTTTTATACTTTACATTTGGTAGTCCTGGAAGGTAGAATGGTGAGTAGTTATAGTCGGCCTTCTGCCACGGTCTTAAAAGTTCGAAGGCGACCAGGTTCCACAGCTGTCTAGTGCAGGCAGGTCGGGTATTATTTTTCACACTGACAGCTGGAGGAAACTGAGTCATGGGATTCCAGGTCTGGCCTTCATCGCACCTTAATGTTGTTAATGACTCACTTGGCTCACTCTTCCTCCTTGTAGAACTTTCTCGCACCTAGCCGACTGTCCATCAGTGAACCAGCTTAGGGATTTCCCCAACAGGCGCTCCGGCTCTTCCCCATACGCAGTGACGCGACCGATGACGCTATTCAGTGACGTGCGATGACGTGACTTACCCCGAGCCAGGTGCCGGCAGGGCGGCCACACCCTGAGGGCTTCAGTTCAGGAGGGGCAATCGCCTCCGACGGGCGGAGACGCGCCACAAAACCCCGCCGGAAGCGACCCGGGGGCCCTGAAATCCTGGGTCCTACCGGCCCACGGGGGATCCGTTGCTAAGTGACGCCAGCGCGCAGAGCGCGTGCGCGGCCACGGCGGTGTGCGTGAAGGCGGGCGCGCGCCGCGACGGCGGCGGCGGGGAAGGCGGCGACGGCGGCGGTCGAGGGGGCGGCGGCCACGAGGCAAGGTCGTTGCTGGCGGAAGAGGCGTGTGTGGCGGCTGTTAGGTCGCTGAGGAACATCGTCGGGGTGAGTCGCCGGGACCCCTTGGGGGTGGGGTGGAGGTGGGGCCTGGCCGCACCTGCTGCGCGGGCCCGGGCCGCGGAGACGCGCGCCCCCCGCCGCCCTCCCCATCGCCGTACCCGCGCGCGCCGCTCCACGCCCCTCGGCCGCTGGTTCCGGGGGCGGGGACGGGGGCTGACGAGGCTCAGTTCCCGGGCCTGGCGCTCTGGGGGGGTGGGGGAGCCGGGCGGGGGGCGCTGGGCAAGGGTGCGGAGGGACAAGTGACTGGAGTCCGGCATGACGCTGCCAGTTTCCCTTCCACGGGGGAATTCGAAGCGGCAGAAGCCCGCGATCCTCAGCAGCCTCGCGCCGGGACAAGAGATGCGACTTTGCCAGCCTGACAAACGCGGAAACGGGGACCCTCGGGGCTTAGGGGTTCACCAAGTTTTAGGTTAACCCCGGAGGGCTTCGTCGGTTCTGCCCTGGCGGGTCCCGGAGCAGGAGCGGGCAGTTAGGGAGAGTTAGGAGTCGCTAGATTCGGGCACACCCACGACCTGGGGATGGCGACCTGTCAGTGGAGATGCCGGGCGGCCAACCAGTTGCCTGGACCTCCAGCCTCACGTGTATGCCCACGTGCTTCTCTTATTCTTTTTTTTTTTTTTTAAATCCAGTGTTGGTACGCGTTTTGAAGCCAGAGAACCATACCCATCCAGTGTTGTTACTTCCTCATAGACTGGAAACGGCTCTTGTATTTATCTCCAAGAACTTGCTGTGCGTTGGGCCACTGCAAGGGCCTCGAGGGTAGGGCAGCCCTGCCTCTTGTGTGTGTTTTCTCTACAAGCGGGCAGGCGGTTATTTATCGAATGAAAATCTAGCTTGCATTCCACGTGTGGGCTAGAGTGGTGCAGCTGGAGCAAAGAGATGCAGCCAGCCCTCAGTCAGTACTGTGCGCGGGACTCCAGTGGGTTGAATGTGTGGTGGTTGTCCTGACCATCCTTGGGGAAGGAGGAGTAATGGAGACAGACGGAAGAAGTCTTTTTCCCCCATTACCTGTTAAAGGCAGTGCCTAGAACCAATGACAAGGGAGCATTGGCATTTAGTCATGATTTATGCATAAAAATAGAGTGACATACCTTCAGTTTCCACCCAGCTCTACAACCCAGAGATTCCGTTTTATAACCGAGGCTGTCAAGTATGACATCTGAAGTTCTCCCGTCTTGGAATCAGTAAAGCTGTGTAAAGCCGAATACTCAAGAGCCACTGTTCATTTATGAACTTTCGGGACTAGAGTCATCCGTTTTCCTTTTCTGCCTGTGTCTCCTAGAAAACTGCATGCTACAGAGTGGACACACAGTAGGTAGAGCATCACACTGCATAAATGGTTTTCAGAGAAGCATTTAGTCTCAGCCTTCACAGAGCCAATACGACCGTTCCTCTCTTTTCAGAGCTGTGCTAAATTAGTGAGAGGATTGTGGGATCACAAGTGAGTAGATGACCAGCCTTTTTCCTTTAACAACGAACCCTCTAGTCAGGAAAAAAGAGCGTGTATCTATAAAAGAGTCATGGAACTAAATGAGGTAGTAGTATTAGATGGGACTGTAGTACCGGAGAAATTTAGACAAGAGGAGGTCAGAGATAGGGGACTCTGGAAGGAAGACTAGGGCTGGCCTTTGAAGGAAGTGTAAAATTGGAGTTAGGAAAGAGTTAAGAAGTCCTGTTGTGAAAAGTTAATGTGAATTTGTTCGTTGGCGGAGGGATATTTTGAGGAGACTTGTGTTGACTGGGGCAGAGAAAGTTTTCTGACACAGAAATAGAAGAGAAAACTTAATGGGGATGCAGTGTTACAGCCGGCCTCCTAATAGGGTGGAGCTTGTGCTCGTTAGCTGTCACCTTGGCTCAAACTAGAATCCCTGGGAAGAGGGAACCGCCATTGAGGAAGTGCTTCCATCAGACTGGCCTGTGTACAGTCTGTGGGGGCGTTTCCTTAGTGATGATTGATGTAGGAGTGCCTCCTTAACCCCCTGCAGAGCCACCCTGCGGATGGTCCCGGGTTGTGGAGAAGGCAAGCCAGTAAACAACAGCACCTGGCTCCTGCCTCCAGGTTCCAGCCTTTGCTGTCCTTGATGATAGACAATTAGCCTGTAAACAAAATAAGCCCTCCCCCAAGTTGGTTTTGATTAATGTTTTATCACAGCAACAGAAAAACTAGAACAGAGTCTGTTTGCATGGGGCATGAGGTGGTGAGTTGATCAGAATAAAGTCTCAGACAGGAATAAGTTACAAGTGTTATTCTTTTAAAACATCTATTTGTTTCTTGAGAGAGGGTCTTACCATATATCCCTGGCTGGCCTAGAACTTGTGTAGATCATGTTGGCCTCAGACTTAGTATGATCTTCCTGACTCTGCTCCTGATTACTGGGAATACAGATATGAGCCGCCATGCCATGCCTAAAAAAATGTTATTTTTACTTAAAGGATATCCAGTTGAGCCAGGACCAGAATTCTGTATCCTTCGATTTCATTTAGTAATTGGAATAAATGCTTCATTCCTGTGCTTTTTCCCTAGGTTGTCAGTACTACATGGCTCAGCCCCCCAAATCTACCTAATGGGTTTAGGCTGCTGTTCTGGACAATTACAGAAATGATGTAACCAAAGTCGTCATCTAACCATACTCAGTGACACAGTTACCATTGAGATTATCTCTCACAGTGCCCTGCTAAGCAATTACTGCTGATCCTGTGACAAAAATACAAATGATGTTAGCTAGAAAGGGAGCCTCTCTGAAGGAAGATACGAAGAAACATTGACAAAAAGATCTGACAGTAATTACACACTGCTGGGGAATATTAAATTATCTATAACTTTTTTGTTATTAGAAAGTTCTTGAGCTGTTTGTAGTCACGTAATCTCAACACTTGGAAAGTGAAGGCAAGAGGCTCAGGGACTCAACGACATCCCCTGCAACAGTGATTTTGAGGCTAGCCAGGGCTACAAGAGTCTGTCTCACTCTCATTCCCCCCCACAAAGAGACAGAATTCTGTAGAATGGTTTGGAAGCCTGAGGTGGAATTGCTAAGTGGGATGTGTAAGGTTACTCGGCAAATGTTGCATTATTTAACAACTCAGCAGACGTTGATGAGGCGCTAGCTGTAACTAGTTCTGTCTGGTGCTGAGAGGAGGGCATAGATGAATGAGGTGCTGCAATACTCTTGGCATCAAGTCTTCATCAGAGATGATAAACCACTGGCTGTTGTGTGTTGTGACAGGTTAATCACTGGGAATTAACAAAGTGCTAGAGAAATTGACTGCATTTGGGGAAACATTGATGTTGAAAGATTAGGAGAGAAGAGGATAGACCTTATCCCCACTTAACCTGAAGTGTGTTTTTGCTGTGTATGGGGAGGAAGGAGCTTTCTAGGTAGACAGTCTAAGGAGTGTTGCTGACTGTTGAAATTGAATGGTCGTTTTGGAGACATCTTGAGTTGTTTCTTACCCGACTGATGTGTGGTAGTAGAGATAGGATAGATATATTAAAGACAAGTTATGAAGGCATCTTCCATTCTATTTTTTTCTTTCTTTTTTTGTGAGACAGGGTCTCTATAGCCCTGGTTGTCCTAGAACTCATTATGTGTATCAGGCTGGCCTTGAATTCACAGAGATCCACCTGCCTGTGCCTCTCGAGTGCTGGGAGCAAAAGTGTGTACCGCCATGCCTGGCCCACTCTATTTTAAAGGTCCACTGCTCACTTACTTGGCAATGGAAAGCAAAGAAAGCAGATCAAGCACGTCCTCAGGAGTAATCAAGAGTCCCGCATAGGTTGCTTTAGAGTGGAGAGGCAGGAATGTGCTGCTATCTCAGGAAAGGAAATGGATGATTAGAGTTCAGAAACATTTTAGTTGTTCGAAGTTTAAAATTTTCAGAACACATAGAAGGGGAGGGAGAATAAGTTCAAGAGGACACGCTCCTGTGACCAAGTGATTATGATGCCATTAACTTGGAAAACAACAGAGGGATGGTTTAAGTGCAGAGAAACAATAGTGCTGTGTTAATTTTAAGGAGCGTATGGGGAGCTTCAGTAGACAGATCCACTGTGTCGGTAGTTCAGAATTCTCCTTCAGAGTTGGAGAGAACCAGGAACAGTGTAGTGTGAATGACAGCTGAGACCACAGGAATAGCAACTTTCCAAGGAGTGTATAGGGTAGTCATTAACTCTGGGAGCTTTGGAGGCAGGAGGATACCAGCCCAAATCCCTGTTGTGAGTGACCTTGCACAAATTAATGTCTTTTATTCTCGGCTTTTTGTTGGAATTAAAGAATTATTGTGAAGACTGAATAATACAGTGTGTACTTGGTGATATCAGCACATGCCTTGTGTACAAATGTTAAACAAAAGGCAGCTGTTGCTACAATAATAGTAATAGATGTAGAAGTAGACAGTCTGATTACATAAAAACAAACAAAAACAAAAAACAGATAATGAGAATTAGAAAGGACAAAAAATGGAACTTGGAAAACCAACAGGTGAATCAGTATTTAATAAAACTCAGGTCATTTCTAGGCTAGACCAGCTTTCATTCTGTTTTCTGTTTCTGTGAGGAAATACTGAAGACTAAAGAGTTTATAAACAACAGAAATTTGTTTCCTCAGTGTTCTAGAAGTTGAGATGTCCAGGGTCACTTGGTAGATCCTGTGGTGAAGGGTGGTATCTGTCTCTCCCTTTCTCCTTTTATAGGAACCTCACCCCTGGAGAAACAGCAGAGGCCTCCTGTCTTACCGCCTCACAAATGCTCTGTCTTTACACAGTAGCACTGAGGATTAAGTTTCCAACCCGTGAGCTCTGGAGAACCTTAAAACCATGGAGGTTCCCAAACTTGAGCATGCATCAGGAGTCCATGGAGGCCTTGGTAAAACCAGAAATCCAGGCCCATTCTCTGTAAGTTTCAGATCGAGTGTGTTTAGACTGGGCTTGAACAAGTGCCCAGGAGATGCTGGGACCAAACTTGAAGACAACCAAGGTACCCTGTGAATAGAAGAGAGATGAGCATGGACATCAAGAAGATAGTGACATTTTTGGAGAAGCAGGGAGAAGTTCAGAGAAGAATCAGGAATGTAATAGTTTTCAGACTATAGGTTCATCACCTGAGTAGTTCCATAGAGCTCATTTGTAGCTGTCTCCTCAGAATCTACCAAATGCCTGTTGTGTGACAGTGTTTGGGGGACTATGTCCTTCACATAATTTCACTCCTGCTCTCCATACACTAAATGAGGACACTATTTCTAATTTTACACATATAAAATAGCTACAGAATTTTTTATTTTTATTTTTATTTTTATTTTTTTAGTTTTTCAAGACAGGGTTTGTCTGTCTGGAACTCACTCTGTAGACCAGGCTGGACGTGAACTCACGAAGATCCACCTGCCTCTGCCTCCTGAGTGCTGGGATTAAAGGTGTATGCCACCACTGTCCGGGCAGAAAAGTTTTTAATAAGCTGGAGTATAACTTGTG